GGCACAGCCCTGGGCAACCCTCCAGGGCAAGAAATTGTTCCTCAGGGGCAACCTCAACCTCCCCTGGGGCAACTTGAGGCCATTTCCCCTTTTCTTGTCCCTTGGGAGCAGAGCCCGACCCCCCCCCTGGCTCCAGGCTCCTGTCAGGAGCTGTGCAGAGCCAGAAGGTCTCCCCTGAGCCTCCTTTGCTCCAGGCTCAGCACCCCCAGCTCCCTCAGCTGCTCCTCCCCACACTTGGCCTCTAGACCCTTCCCCTGCTGTGCTGTGCTGAGCAATGCTGGTCTGCAGCATGACATCTCATGGTGTTCAATATGACACCCTCTCTTTTCTCCTCAAGGTTACAGGAAACTGCAGGCTGTGGCTGAGCAGCTGATCATGTTTGAAACACTCAAGCAGAACTTTGAAAACGCCTTCATCACTCACATCACAAACATCTTTCAGCTTCAGGTGGGCTTTGCTCTTCATGTAGCCACTCAAATCCCAGAGGATCAGAATATTCTGGTAAAACAGTGATCTAGATGTCACCACAGAAGCATAAAATGGTTTAAATTGGAAAAGATCAGAGTCCAACCATTAACCCAACGCTACCTACTGCTAACCCACATCCCTCACACCACATCTCCATGGCTTGGGAACCCCTCCAGGGGTGGGGACTCCACCACTGCCCTGGGCAACCCTCAAAGGGAAGAAGTTTTTCCTAAATCAAACCTATTACTTGGTGGTTGTCCGTCTGTAATACAAAATCCCAGGATAAAAGCCAAAGGTGGATGGGAGGGACAAGTTCCACCCTGCTCCTCAACAAGAAGCTTTTCTCCCCTGTCTTCTCCTGGGGTTTCCCACATATTACTGATGGGCCAGCTCATTCCTCTGGGCTCAGAATTGTTTCCAGGGCGTGGGATTAAAACCAGAGTCCCAAGTGACTGTTCAGGCTCTGTTTCACTCTTTACAATTGCTTCTCAACCCTAGAGCTGGAAATTGGAGGACAGCTATGAAGTTATTACTCTAGAGCTTCTCAAGGCTCTCTTTTATTTGACTTTCTGCCATTTCTGTTGCTTTAGGGGAATGCTCAGCTCCCTGCTCTTGGTCAGCCCATTGACAAGCTATCTGCACCAAGCCATGGACTCCACCATGAGGAACTGGTGCCCTACATCCCACTCATGGCCTGGCTGAGGAACATCAGCCCCGTTCTGTTCTGTGACCTCCCCAAGGTACAGCTGAAATCCTGAACAAACGTTGCAAACCCTCCAGCAGGAGCAGCTCAGTCAACCTGGGCAATTTGGGTGGAGAGCTTGGTGTCACCCAACCTGCACCACCCACAAGCTTCCTGAGTTTGCCCCTTCTAGGAGAGCATCTGGCCAAGTTGGCCATGTGGTGTTGGACTTCTGTGCTTGGCTGAAAGCAGCCTGGGACTCGGTGGCAGGCACTGTGTTGAAGGGAAGGGTCTGGAGTGTTAAAATTTGGTCTTTTTGCTTTTTTTTGGCCATTTCTCTCCTTTCCAGGTCTACGCCCAGAACCTCAGCAGGCTCTATGACCGAGAAATCAAAGCCTTCTTTGAACAAGCCAAAACCTTCCTGCTGGGCAGAAGAAAAGGAAGTGAGTGATTTGCAAATCTGACCTTTGTGCTGCTGAGAAGGGATTTATGGCAACCACCCTCCACCACGGGTGTCTTCCCCAGATTTTGGGCCATGAATTTGCTTTCTTCTCCACGGGCTGGGTGTGCAGTTGGCAGCAGGGGACACCAGGCAGTGTTTGTGTCAGCCTTGTGGCTCCATGGGGCAACCAGTTTTCTTCAGCTGCTTCCCAGAGCTGCACCTTCCCTTTGGAGGCCTCAAACATCAAAGAATGGGTTGGGTTGGAAGGGAGCTTTAAATATCATCTAGTCCAAGCCCATGGGTGAGGTGGTGTCCTGAGCAGTCTTCAGCTGCTTCCCAGAGCTGCACCTTCCTTCCCTTTGGAGGGCTCAAACATCAATGGGTTGGGTTGGAAGGGAGCTTTAAATATCATCTAGTCCAAGCCCATGGGTGAGGTGGTGTCCTGAGCAGTTGTAAGAGAGGGGGATGTGGCACTGCCTAATGCCTGGTCCATATTTCATGCAAGCAGAGCTGGTCACAGAGCCCTCAGACACTTCTCCTCTCCAGAGATGGCACCAAGGCTCTCCCTGGAGACACGGGTGTAGTTGCAGCAGTATTTCTGAGAGCAGAAGGATTTCATAGCGAGCTGACTCGGGGGCTGTGTGGTCCCAGGGTGCTCATTTCAACAGAAATCACTGTGCCTGACTCCAAATATTCCAGTCAGGTGTTCCTGAAGATAAAAAGAGGAACTGATCTGTCTCCTCTGGAAGTTTGATTGCAGTGAAATCACATTTTCCACCAGCAAAACAAAACAAAGGCCTATCATGGAAAGTTCCACGCCAGCTTGGCCCGGGTTGAATGTCAAAACCCACTTTGTCTGGTGTGTTTAGGCTCTCAGAGGGTCAGCCTGGCTCCTCAAAGCTCTGCAGCTACTTCAGCACTTGTCTCCAGACCCCCGAGCCAGAGGATGAAGGTTTGGGAAGGAAATGGAGCTGGTGGCTGAAGGATCCTGGTGAAGGGCTCTGCCTTTCTGCTGCTCCCACAGCAAGGGTTGTGCCAACAGCTCCTGGCCAGCTGCCCTGCTACTGCCCCATCCTTGGTCTTCTGGGGTGAGGTCCACGCCGTTCTCGTGGGGTGGAAGGGATGGTTAGGGAGCCTGGGCCATGGGCATCTGGATGGAGCTCCCCTGAAGCTCAGCAGGCTGCAGGATCAGACCTTTGCAGATGATTTCCACTTCTGCAGCCCTCCAGGGCCCTTTCCCTTCCTTTGAGAATTGGCCATGGATGGAAGAGCCAACATCTGGGTCTTCTGCTGCAACGTCCTCCCTGCTCGGTGGATCTAGGGGGAACCTGGAGAGTCTGAAGCAGGGACAGGGAGAGCCTGGGCCAGCAGCAACCTGCAGAGGAGCAGGGACAGGCCAGTGTGCCTGCTGGCAGCTCTTCCCATGCTGGGGTGGCTGCAGAACCTTCCTCTGCCTCCCAAATTTTGTGTTGTGGATGGGCCCCAAATCCATGGGGAGAGGAGCACCTGGCATCACTTTGTCCTCCATCGTGGCAGCTCCCACCTTGCAGAGGTGCAGGGGCACAGCACCAAAGAGGCACAACTGGCCCAGAGTGTGCTGGGTCTGCCCACCCCCTTGCTGTGCCCCCAGTACTGCCCCAGTCAGTCCCAGTCCAGGGTGGGCGAATGGCAGCAGACTGACCCTGTCTCTGAAGAGAGGGACACAGGAGCACTTCTGAGCTCCTAGTTTTGGGTGAGACCTATCTCAGCACATCCACCTCCCCTCCCAGTTCCTCCTGCCCAGGGCCAATCCCCCTGGGAGCCCCCAGCCTGTTCTGCTGGCTCTTGTCCTTATGGACATCCAGCACTGCCCACCCTCCCTGGAAGAAGAGGGGTGTGGGCCAACGAAGCAGTGGCTGTAAGGAGATATTCCAGGCAGGATTCAAGTGCTTCCAGCTCCTCTCTGCCTCACTCACCCAGCAGCAGCTCTCCTGCTCACAGCCTGGCAGAGAGGGGCACCTGCTTTGCCTCACCTGCCACGTTGGGGAGAAGAAAGAGTTAAACAAGATGCTGTTCCTCTCACCCTCCTTCTCCTCCACGCCTGGACACAGTTTTTCCTGGGGAAACGTGCTCTTTTCTCACTTCAAACCAGGGATTCCTGAGAGGAGGTAATGAAAGTCCTGGCAGCAAGCGAGCCTGGGGAATTAGCAGCGGGGAAGCAACCTCAGATCTGTGGTGGAGAAGATAATGGGATCAAGCAGCATTTCCTGAAGTGGGGTGATTGCTTTTATTTAAATTAGAAGGCAATAACAAAGATCCTGCGTAGGATAAAGAGGCCCTGGGTCCTATTTGCAAAGTGATGGATGTGCTCTGAGAGAGGGGGTTTAATTCTGCTGGGCAGTAGAAAATAAACCTCCCTGAGATTGTCTCATCCCAGAGCAGAGCTGGGTCTGCTCAGAAAGCCCTTGGAAAGGGGGAGGTGGTGGGGGCAGAGGTGGCTGTTCAAGAGGCTCTTTATGAAAACAGACTTGTTAAATGAAAAGAAAACAGTGTAGGGCAAGTGTTGCAGCCATCCTGCCTGATCCCCTTTTGGAAAATGTTGAACCAGTGATTTCCTTTCAGTACTTTGTCTATTTAACACCTCTGTGAGCCCCATAAAACAGGAGAGACTAAAAGCCCAGGAGAAAAGCCAGTGTCAGAAGGTCACCTTGATGGCTACAAGCCTGTTAGTGTCCTGACCCACCCAAAGGGCTCTGAGTGTTGCTGGGGCTGCTCCCGTGGTCAGGACAAGCTGAGAGGAGCTTTGATGGTACCATGAGAGAGTCCAGAAAAGGCTGTGGAGATGTTGAGGGACTGGAGCATCTCTGTGCCAGGCCAGGCTGAGAGCCCTGGGGCTGCTGAGCTGGAGAAGCCTCAGAGGGGATCTGAGCAGTGCTGAGCAAGAGCTAAAGGGCCCCGGGGGGCAAGAGGCTGGGGCCAGACTCTGCTCAGTGGTGCCCAGGGACAGGCCAAGGGGCAACGGGCACCAACTGGAACCCAGGAGGTGCCACCTGAGCAGGAGGAGAAACTTCTCTGCTGGGAGGGTGCAGAGCCTGGAGCAGCTGCCCAGAGAGGCTGTGGAGTCTCCTGCTCTGGAGAGATCCCAAACCCTCCTGGCTGTGACCCTGGGCACCCTGCTGGAGCAGGGGTTTGGAGGAGATGATCTCCAGAGGTCCCTTCCAGTTCCTACCACCCTGTGACTCTTTGTGGGGAGAGCTCTGGCACAGGTAAGAAGCTCCACCTTGGCTGGGGCTGCTGAGCCCATCACTGAAGCCAGCAGCAGATGGAAACCACAGCCACTGTGTAGGACACAGAGAGGGGAATTTTTAGCAAGTTGTGCCCACAGAGCTGCTGGCAGCCACGCTGCAGAAAGGCACCTTCCCTGGGGCTCGTGGTGCTGCCAGCTGAGATCAGCCTGCCCACCGCTGGAGACACAGGGGACAAAGGAGGAGGGAAGAGCATCCCAACCCTCCCAGCTCCTGGGGACCTTCAGAAACTCCTGCTGAGACATTTTCTGCCTGATTTTTTGGTCCCGGGCTGTTGTGCAGGGCAGGTTTGGCTTTGATGGAGCTCTGCAGGAACCTGATCCAAGGTCTCTCCTGCCGTTTCCCCAGCTCAGCTGCTCCTCGGGGTGAGCTGCTGGATGGATGAAAGCCCAGGCTGGCAAGGACACCTTCCTGAGAACATCCCTCATCCCTGCTCTGAGATATCCCAGGCTCACTCTCTCCACCTCTTTCTTTCTACCCATCACCGTGACCGTGAATTTTTAGGGTTGATTCCCTGCCCTCCTAAAGGATTATTTATGTCTCTCAGTTCTAAATTTACCACCTGATAATTTATCGCCTCCTTTCAGTATTATGGGAGAGTTTAGAAGGCAAACCCCAAGCTGGTCATAATTAATTGTGAGGCAATAATTTAGACTTTCCTCCTCATTTTCCCCCATTCCCTTTTCCACATTACAGGCTCATAAAATTCTTTCCCGTTTGCTGGGGGAAGACTTTTTTTTTCCCCCCCTCCCTTGGTTTTGCCACTTCCCAGCAAGTGAAATTATCACCACAAGGGTGGGGAAAAGGTTATGAAGCAGCTCATTAATTTTCCCCATGGTTTTAGCCAGGCTGAGGTCACGAGCAGGGCTGTCCATCATCTCTCATCCCTGCTCGGCATGCAGGACACCTGACAAATCCTTCCCAAAAGTAAAAGCCCTGCAGGTAGCCCACTCAGATAAGGATATTTTGGCTGTTATGAGGAATGGAAAGCTGGCCTGACTCACTCGAGACCTCTGGGGTTGCTGGAATGAGACCCGTTTTAGAATTAATTAGCAAATAAAATGGATGTTTCCCCACCGATTTCTTTCAGCAAGTGTAACACTGATTTTTTCCTGCACATTTCAATGAAATATTTTCACTTTTCCACATAAGCCAAGCACCCAGTGACAACGCTGTGGTCCAAAGCTGGTGATATTTGAAAAGTATCTTCATTTCCAGTCGCACAGTTATCATTTTAAAAGGTTAATTTAGGAAGAAAGCCAACCCTCCCCCCCTGCCCGAGTTGGAGCAATTTACCACCAAAATTAAGCAACAAATATTTTTCCTGAAGCCCTCGCAGGCATTTCTGCTGATTTATGCTCTTACCAGCCAGGATTTTTCACTCCCCAGTCCTCAAGAGTTAGTACTAAGCACTAAGTAACAAAGGGTTAAGCAGCACAGTCAAAAAGAGTGATGAAAAAGAGAAAGAGAGGAGAAGGCAGATTAAAAAATAAGAGCTAAACCTTCATCCCTCCCCTATATCTGAATCCGACAGGAAAAGGTCAATTCACGCCCAAAATCAGACCTAAAAAAAGAGACATTTAAATCTGTTCAAGTGATGAATGGAGCTGGAAGAGGTCTGAGAGGGCTGGAGAGGTCTGACCACCTACCTGTGCTGCACAGGTCTCCAGGAAAGCTCCGAGAAGCCCATGGGGAGCAGGCACCGCTGGAGTCTCCCGGGGAGCAGAGAGGGCCAGGAGGACACGCCAGGCAAAGGCAACGTCACCAAGGTGAGGAGCTGAAGGGTTCTGAAGGGTTCACGTGTCTCACGGGGGCTGGAGCCCATCCCATGGTCCTCTCTTCAGTGCTGGGTGGCTAGAGGAGAAGCAGAGATGTTCTGTACTGCTCTGACGTGGTCAGATGTTCTCACGTGGCTTAGATGTCCCTTCAGGTGGCCACAGACATCTGCTCCATGTCCTCAGTGTGTGCTAGAAGGGTTTTCTAACACACCCAATGGTTTCTGAGCAGATGTTGGAGCAGGTGCTGAGAGAGCTGCAACCCCTCTGCACTGCAGAGCAGCACTTCATTGAGAAGTTCTTCCAGCTAAGCCACGGTGCTGCAGACCTGCAGGGGCTGGAGGTAAGTGCAAGGACTAGGTCCTCTCCAGTCCCATTGCCAGTCCTCCCTCCAGCTTGACACCAGCCTCAGCAGGCACAGTGGGTTGGCCCCTTACCTCTTCTGGGCTCTTGTCCTCCAGTAACCATCAGTGGTGGCAGCAGTGGGGAAGCTTAAGACCTCCTGATGACAGAGAAGAATTGAATTGAGCTTAATTGCCAGCTCCAGCAAAACCACAGGATCTCCAGTCATCAAACAGGACTTTAATTCCATGGGAACAAATTGGTTTGGGTTAGATGGGATCTTCAAGATCATCCAGTCCCAAGACCCCCACCATGAGCAGGGACACCTCCCACTAGACCAGGTTGCTCCATGCCTCATCCAACCTGGCCTTGAACACCTACAGGATGGAGCATCCACAGCTTCCCTGGGTGACCTGTGCCAGGGTCTCACCACCCTCAGAGTGAAGGGAGCAAAATATGAAGCAGCAGAAATGAAACCCAAGTTTTCCTCCCTGAGGGAAGGCAGGGAAATGATGATCTCCATTCCCTTCTTTCTTCCAGGCACCTGCCACCAAAGGAGGAGAGACTACAACACCTCCAGAGGACTCTCCTTGCCCCAAGCCTCGGAGCCAGTACGTGGCCCATAAGATGTATCTGGCTGCTTGGACAGGGGCATGGTCTGGAGTGTCCTACAGGGACAGCCCAAGGAATTGGTGGAGGGATTTTTTTCTCCACTCTTGACTATCCTGATGTCTACCTGGGCTCAGGTTTGCACCCTGGAGAGCAAAAAGCCAGGCTGGGCGTGGAGAAAGGCTGAGCAGAGCCTGCTGGTTCTGCCTCTCCCCAGCACGGTGGCTCAGAACGGGAGGTTTGTGTTTCATGGCAGACCTCAAGCTTCCATCCGTTTTATTTCCTCATTAGCAAGGTCCTAAAGGGAAATTATGGAACAGAGATCTCAAAAAATATCAGCAGAAAACCAGAGCTTTTTGGCTTTGCTGGCAAAACAGGGGGTTCCAACAGCCTCCCACAAGGCAGAGCTGAAGAGCTGAAGGGTGACCCAAGTGTGCACAGGCTGCACATCAATATTTTGGGCAAGACTTGGCCCCTGCCTCTGCAGCTGGCCACAGGGCCAGTACCCCTCCCTGATTAATTGCTTACCTCTTAAGTTTATCTGGTGGTTGTTTTGGGGTTTTTCCCCCTTTTTTTTTTGATTTGTTTGTGGTTTTTTAAGACTGGAAGATGCCACCACCCGGCTGATGAGCGAGATCTTCAGTTGCCTGGAAGCAGAGCTGAAAGGATTCCTCGAGCTCTGCAGTGGAGTCCACCCCTTCAGCTGCTTGCAGGTCCTGGTTACCTTGAGCGACTCCATCTTTGAGATGTGGGGCTCTTCCCCAGCTCTCCCCTCGTCCTTCCTCAACACTGTCCTGGGCAACATGCTGCTCCTGGCCAAGAGCAGCTTCAACAAGTGCATTGTGAGTGTCAGTAGAAGCAAACCCACGTAGAGCTGGTGTTTGACCTCCTCCAGTCTTCTAACATGATCTTCACTGAAGGCAGGGCTAATTTATATCAGGCAGGGATCTGGCTCTTTGGGTTGAGGAGGATTGGACTCCCATTGTGTCAACAATTGGCTGTGTGAGGGAGGTGGGACAAACCCAAGTGCCCTCCGTGCCTCCTTTCACCAGGATGGTCAAACCAAAGCACGTCAGATGGCTGGAGCCAAGTCCTCCTGGCACAACAGGACATAATCCAGCAGAGAAGGGAGCATGTGGGGCTTGAGAGCCCATCAGAAATGTCCAAGCAACCTAGCTCTGAGTCCACTGAGGTCAAGGGAAGCCACACATTGATGTTAACTGTTGTTGCAAGACCTGGAGGAGCAAGACTGCTCACAACCAGCCTGAGAAGTCCAAGAAGTGGCAGTGGGGAACATCTCTGCCCTAAGAGGTGTGGGTGGGGAGATCTCAGCACTGTGTCTGAGGCAGGCAGCACAGTCTGGGAGAGAAGGTGCTCCAGGAGAGCAGGTAGCATGGTCTGGACTAGGAAGCTCACGTATCTCCCCATAAAGACACCATAAATGGAGAAAGTGGTCCCCACAACCCCTTTGCTTTCTGGCCTTACTGCACCACGAGAGGAGGCTGAGGCCACGTCAGCTCCAAGAGGGTCCTGTCTTGTGTGTTGTTGCCAGGGGACCTTGTGTAGAGAGATTGAGGAAGCGAAGATGCCCAGCAAGATGAAAGGTGGGATCCTGCCCTCCGTGAGCCGCTTCGAGGAGTTCGTGAACTTCTCAGAGGAGGTGTTCAGGACAGCTCGGAGGAGAGGGGAGCTGGACAAAGCACACCTCAGGCTGGCCAGCAGCGTCTTCAGCAGCAGTGAGTACAAGGCTGGCAGCTGTAAAGGGCTGGGGTGTCAAGCACAAGGGTTGTCCAGGGCTGTGCCAGGCTGCCCAGGGCAGTGGTGGAGTCCCCACCCCTGGAGGGGTTTCCAAGCTGTGGAGATCATGAAGTGGTGTAGAGAGGCAGCTCCTCCCCCTGCAGATGAGCCTGGGGTGACCCACTGAACAGCAGCTCCCAAATCCACGAGCAGAGCCCCTTCCAGGCTCCAGCAGTGTTCACAGCAAAGCAGGTGAGATAGGGAATCCAGCTCCCCAACAACGTTTGGTCAGGGCTGGACTTGGAGGTTGCTGCAAATCAAATGTCCTGACCCCAAAGCTCTCCAAGGCAAGGTGGTTGAAGAGCTGGGATGATGCTGAGCTGAGCTCTTGGTTAAACTCTCCACTGGTGACCCAAGCACGACAGCATCTGGACCTCATGTCCCTCCTGACCCAGGCTGCAGGGTCTTCTCTTTGTACCTGACTCGTTCCTTTCTTTCAAGTCAACAGTTTGTCCTCAGCAAACCTGAAGATGAACACAGATATGGTCATGATGGAAAATTTCCACCACGTTCACTGCTTCCTGTGCCAAAAGAAGATCCACTGCCTGGAGGGCAAGAAGAGAGAAGCCAAGCAGAGGTACAGCGAGCACATGGAGAAATACGTCACCAAGTACCTGGGCCAGCCCCTGGAGAAGCTCAACGTGAGTACAGGAGGAAGAGACCTTTGCCTGGCTCTCAGGGGGCAAACGCCCTGCCCAAAATCAGGAATTAACCAGGGTTCCAATCACCCCTCCCCAAATCCAGGGGGAGATGATCACAGCTTGGTGTCACACCAACGTCCCTGGAGCCCTTCTCTGAGCACTCCCATGGCACAGCCCTGGGGCTCAGCACCACGGGGGGCTAGGACTCAGCCTGGCTGGTGGCCCGAGCCCCCGTGGCTCGCGTGCCTGTGCCCAGCACGTGCCAGTTTGGCTCTGCACGGCTGGCTGGGCTGCTAGACCTGACACAGCTCCACGTTCCCCCAGGGGCTCCCCGAGCCAAGAGCGTCTGGGTTAGCCAACGCAGACAGAACCCCCCAGAGCTCCCAGAGATGGGGGCTGCTCCTCAGAGCCCTCCTCACCCCACTCCTCCTCTCTTCTCACTGGCCGAAAACATCTCCCAGAGCCACGGCAGCTTCAATTATTTACAGGGCTTGTTACTTTCCATTTGTTTCCAGCCTTTGCTGTTAAACATCTTGGAGGTCTTGGAAGATCAGCTCGGTGTCTCGAGCTACCTCCAGCCCTGCTGAAGGGCTCCAAGCCCTTCTTCTGCCAGGGGAAGCACAGCTGCATAGCTGACACCAAAGAGAGTAACGTGAGGGTACTTGGAACATGTCCTGCTCAGGGATTTCCAGAGTCCTGGTGTGTCCTTCTCTAGCAGGCCACGCAGGTCTTCAGGTCTGAGCACAATTTACTAGGATCAGGAGAAGATGCAAAGGGACCTAACCAATGGAGGAGCCTCTTTCTGGTTTTGGAAACTCCTTATTCCTTTAGGAACCCTTTCTTTCTGAAAATCCTTTGGATTTAGGGTATTTCTCCACAGCAAAATTGGAGTGGAAGTACCCAAGGCAGCAGATTATTGTGCTGTATGAACCAGAGGGTAGACAACAGGCTGAAGGAAGTGATTATTCCCTTTTCCCAGCCTTCATTAGACCAGATGTGGAACACCACATCCAGCTGTGGCAGAGACAGATGTGTGTCACATCTACCTGTGACAATGAGACACTGCTAACAGGAGCAAGGCTGGGGGAGGGCCACCAACGTGGTGAGGAGAGGTTGGAAGAGCTGGATGTTGTCAGCCTAGAGAATGGACAATTTTCAGGGGGACTTAGCAGCCACCTTCCCTAGAAGATCACTGAGGTGCACAGCAGGATGATCTAAACCTAAAAAAAAAGGAAGGTTCCAGCTGGATAGAAGGGAAAAAAATAACTCTAAGGATAATAAAGCATTGGGGACAGTCTGTCTTCTGTCCAGAGAGGTTGCACAATCTCTATCCTTGAAGGTTTTCAAGTCCTACCTTGAGAAGTGCCCCAGGTACCCTCATTTGAACTCAGTGTTGAACCTGCTTTGAGCAGGACGTTGAACTAGAGGCCTCCTGAGGTCCCTTCCAGCCTGACTGATTCTGTGCCCAAAAAAAGCTCATTCACTCCACACTTCTGCAGCTTCTGAGATCCCACAACCCCATCCCCAAGCTCCAGACCCTCCGTGGTGAGCAATGCCAAACGAAACACCACAGGAGTGATTTTTTTCCAGCAGTCCCACTGCTCAGTGGTGCTGCAACCCCTGGAGATGCTGCTTGCCAAGCAAGGAGGGAAGAGAGTAGACAAAATTCCCAATGCCCTGATTTCCTGGAGGACAAGCGACCTCCAATATTTTGTGTGCCCTTGATGAGATGTGGGAAGGGAACTGAGGAAAGAGGCCAGGTTTCAGCCCTGCTGTAGGACACCACCTTAGGGCAGCTCCCCAGTGAACATCTCCTTGCCTTTCCAGCACTTCTTTGAAGGAGTGAAAGCCCGTGTGGCCCAAGGGGTGAAAGAAGAAGAGGTCAGCTTCCAGCTGGCCTACAGCAAGCAAGAGCTGAGGAAAGTCATTGAAAAATACCCTGGCAAGGAAGTGAAAAGAGCCCTTGAGACGCTCTACAGGAAAATCCACAAGTATCTCTCTGAGGAGGAAAACCTTTTGCCGGTAAGCAGAGCGTGGTCGGGGCATGGTGTTGAGATTTTTGGGGAGCTCAGGACTGCAAAGGGTCAGGGCAGTGAGGGTGTTGATGGTTTGCTTCTCCACAGGTGGTGTGGCACGCCATGGAGCAGCAGCTCATGCGTCAGTACCGGGAGTTTGAGGAGCTGATCCAACGCTGCTACGCAGGGTCAGGGATCACCATGGACTTCACCACGGAGGACTTGCTCAGCTACTTCAACTCCATCACCCTCTCCAACCTGTAGGGGCAGCTCTCTCTGCTGGGAGCAGCTCAGGAACCCTCATCTGCAGCAGTTTAAGGAGCTAAACTCAAAGCCCTTCCCAAGCTGAAGTTTGATCCGCAGCAGCCTCATCCTAAACTCAGCACTAAATCTGACTTGTCACTCTTAGGCCAGGTTTCCCTTGGAGAAGTGGAATTCTCCAGACCCAAAACAGACTCCCTGCTGCAAGAAACCATCATGCATTAGTAAAAACAACACCCTCAAACATCAAATTCCTGCCAAAGTGAGCACTGGTGCCATTCCTCTCCAGCAGTGGAAGGCGGCTCCTCTCCATGAGCTCTACTTTTATCTGCACCCAAACTTCCCAGTGAACCTCTGCTAAAGCAAGAGGGTTACAACACACAGAGACATGAGTGACTACATCCAGACATCAGAACATGCCCCAGTGCTCTACCAGCTCTTCAGCAGAGACACAGGAAAGGTCAGAGTTATTAATATAACAAGCTTTATTGCTTTTAGCTAAGGAAGGATTTACTTGCCTGGAAAGTGGCGTGGAGCAGAGGCTGCAGTCCCAAGGATCCAAAGCAGAGCTGCCTCTTCTAACTCCCCTTGCTTGTGAAGCCTCCTGTAGCAACATCACAACTCACCAATAGAGTTTTGTGGTTGAAAACACAGCCTCTGTCTCTTGTGATGATCCTCGTGGAGCTAACATGTTCAGAACTTTCTCTCTAAAACAATGAAGAGCCTGAACCCTTTGATTCAGTACAAAACAAGCCTGGTCCATAGCAGTGATGCAGGGTCAAGGAGCAGGAGATCAGTCTACAAACTGAAGCCCAGACAAGCAGAGTCTTTAGCCAGCTAGAAGCAGATCTGAGGCCAGACAGGAGACAAACACCCTCAGACCAAAACTCAGGCGTAGAGTGAAGGTCCTGAGAGGAGCTTAAATAAGCTCTGGGGCCCATGGGTGAGGCTGGAAGCCCCCAGGTGAGGCTGGTCAGGGCTAGTAAGACTATCAGTGCTCCAGAGCCCTGTCAGGGGTCAATGCTCTGTTATCAGCACCTGAGGGGACAACTTTAGAGGTTTTTGTAAAAAAAAAAGATAGGATTTTTCCCAAGAACATGAAATTTGGGAGGTCCACCTCCTGCCTGTCCATCTGTCTGCCAGTCCCACTCTTGAACCATAGGATCTGGAGTGGGAAGGAGAGCAGAAGCCACTGAGACAGTCAGCTCCTGCAAAAGGAGGTGAAGAGGTGAGGTTGCCCACTGCTGGGGAGCCTGCTGCAGCTGCCTGCCACAGCTCCTCTTCTCCAGGGGTTCTTCTCACCAGGAAGCCACCCTGGTCTGAGCACCAAGCTCTATCATGTGCTTTGATACAACACACGTGGCTAAACCATCCAGATTCTTTCCCTGGGATTGTGCAAGTAACTCTGAGTAGCTGGACTTGGAGGTCCTTTGGGTCAAGGTGCACTTCTGCAGGGAGCAGTGCTCAGAGCTCCAGTTTCTAATCGTGTTGGCCTTTCACCTTCGTTCTCCTGTGACGTTGCTGCTGGCCCAGCTCAGCTCCAGGCAGCAGGAAGAGGATGGTGACCAGGGAACCACCCAGGAGCCATCCAGCACAGGCTCGTCCAGCTCTTTGTCCTCTCTCACAGGTACTCTTGGAGCCTGGTTTCCTTGCAGTGGTTTGCTGAGGGGCTGCTGTGGGAAGGGAGGGTTGTCTTGGCAGGAGGTGGGAGCTGCAGGCTGTGACATGAGGGTCCTGCAACTTGGAGGACTTCCTGGGTGGGAAGGACTCGGCAGAGGGACTGAGCCTGGATTGCCCAGAGGTGAGGGTGTCACACCCCAAAGAGCAGCAAGGAGGAGCAGGGACCTTCCCCTGGCCCTGTTAACAGCTTCTTCCTGTAACTGGGGTGATCCCTGGGCACAGTCCAGCCCATGCTGGAGTCCCAGCTTGGGGACAATGGTCTCCTCTCACTGCAGGGAGCAGGTGCCCTGGTGAAACTGTGCCTGGTTTCATGCTGACCTTGCTCCTGTATCAGGGGGGCTTTGAGATGTCTCCTCGCCAGCATTTCCCATGCACTCTGCTGCAGAAGAGCAATGGCAGAGTGCATGACCCCCACCTAAGAGAAAACACCAAGAACCACTCAGCCCAGGCTGCTGAGTCCCCTGCACCCTCGCCCTGCTTCTCCTTGGACCTTTGGCAGCAGCCTCACCCTCTGCCTGCTGATAACATCAGCCCTGGTCAGGGCCACGGTCTCTATCTTATGGCCCATGTTCTATAAGCCCCTTTCCATGGGGACCCCAAGCAGCTGCTTCAGCCCTGGTGCCCTTTTCTCCCAGCAACACCCTTCCCCCAGAGACATTTCCTACCAGATTGTCAGGACCCAGCTTGTCTTCACTCTCTGTCTTTGTTCCACCTGGATGAGGATCTGCACCTGACATGAAAGGAGGTTGTGAGGACACCAGGGTGGGTTTGGGGGGGAAGGATCACACACGTGGTCCATCCTTGGTGCACACAGGTTTTTAGGCATTGGGAGCTTAGCATCTTGGTGACATCAGCCCTCAGCGAGGTCACTCAGCTCGTCCTCAAGATGTGGCCCAGCCAGGGGCTCTAGCAGGCTGAGGTTCCACCAGAACAAAGTGGGGGTCTGAGGCCTTTCCAGGGAGGAGAATTTATTGCTTCTGTACTTGTGCCACCTGCAGGCCAAAAGAAGGTCCTGTTCCATCTCCATTCACAGGCTGGACCGTTTCCCTGGGTAGCTGGCTGCTCCTGACCACCCCGTTCTGTGGCTTTGCATGCTGGTTCCCAGCCCTGACACGATGTCCTGGAAGGAGGAGTGTAGGAGTCCACCCCCGTGTTTCATCCAGCGTCTGGACCACCTCGTGTTGACTGTGAAGAGCATTGAGGCCACGGTGGCCTTTTATTCCAAAGTCCTGGGCATGGAGGTGGTGACTTTCAAGGTAATGTGGGCTTAGTTTGGGTCTAGGAGACCTGGAGCTTCAGTTCTAGTCCCCAGGACTTTGAGGACTACCCAGATGGGTGGGTGCTGAGGGTTTCCAGCCCAGCAAATCTCACTGTGCTTTGGTTCTTCTCCCTGGGGCCAGGGGAATCGCAAAGCTTTGCGTTTTGGCAACCAGAAGTTTAACCTGCACGAGGCTGGGAAGGAGTTTGAGCCCAAGGCTCGGTGCCCAGTGCCTGGCTCTGCAGACCTCTGCCTTATCACACAGGTGCCCCTGGACCAGCTGCTGGATCATCTGAAGGTGAGGAAAGCACAGAGTGTCCCCAAGACGCTGTGACCCCCAGAGGCACGAAGTCAGACTGCCCCCCAAGTGCCACTTCCAAGGGCTGTGCCTTGGGGAGTGACAGGATTGTCTCATCCTGGCTGGGAGGAGAGCTCAACGCCCTGCCAGGCATTAAACCCCTGCTCCTATGTCCCCTCCCAGGCCTGTGGAGTGACTGTTGAAGAAGGTCCCGTGGCCAGAACTGGTGCCATGGGTCCAATAACATCCATCTACTTCCGAGACCCTGATGGGAACCTGATCGAGGTCTCCGGGTACCCCACGGACGTGGCTGCAGTCGGTGGAGGGACACCTTAACCACAGCTCCTGCCCTGCCTGGGTCCCAGCAGGAGACACGACGCAGAGACCAGGATTTGGTGGCCAATTTCCAGCTTCAAGCTTTTCCTCTGCAAACCTAGGACAAGTCTCAAATCCCAGCCCTAAAAGCAGGACCTGTGTGAATGCTGAAGAGTTTTCCCAAGACATCCTGCTCAGCTCTCAACCCTGGGTGTGAAACCTGCTTTATAAACCACCATCAATGGAGGCTTCACGACCTTCTTGGAAGATCTGTCCTCCTGCTGCTGCTGCACTGCTCTTGTTGGGACGTTTTTCCTCATGTCTGACACATTTTGCTGCAGTGGAAGCCACTCATTTCCACACTGTCCACCATAAACACAGCAGAACCTGTGGTTCCTCTGCTCCTCATAGTCACTGATGAGTCTGTCTCTGTTTCTCTCTGTGTGCTCACTTGGCTTGCCTCAGGCTGGCTCCCACACCAAGCCAGAGGTTTGAATCCAGCTGTGACTGTTGAAACCCATTTCCTGCCTGGATAATGGGAACTTGGCCTCAGCATCTAACACACAAAGTGCTCCTCCTGAAGCTGAAGCTCTGTGCCTCACACTCAGCTCTGCACACATATCTGTAGGGCACCAGGGATGGGGAAAAGTCAGGGTGAGATGGCTGCGTGGAGGGGATGGTGTCTGAAGCTGGTGAGTTCACCCCTATTTTTGCAGGGATGAGGGGGAGATGCTGGTATCAGGCAGAAGACATTGGCTCCCCTTTGCAGCCCAAGCTGGCTGCCCTGTTTTCCCAGTAAGGCAGGAGCAGGGCTTGGCTCTGGCCCCAAAACCAGCTGCCTGTGTCTGGCCTGCACTTCCCAAGGGAAGGAAGAGACTTTGTGCTGCAGCTCGAAGGGATTTGCTCCTCCCTTCCATCCCCACGGATGGCACATTCCCATGGATCCTTTCATTCATTCATTCACTTCTGGAAGAGCAGTTTCCTTGCAAAACTTTCCCCCCAGTAACAACACATCCATTCAGCCAGACAGGGCTCTGGGCCATCTCATCTAGACAGGGCTTTTCTCAAGAAAGCTTGTGTCAGATGATCCTTGAGGTCCTTTCTATCCTGGGGGTATTCTCTGATTTTATGTCCAGAGCTTGGGAGAGGAAATCCACCACTCTTACCTTCCTCTCTCCAGAAAGGAGATGCAGAGCTGCTCCAGGAGCTCTGGCACGGAGGAAGGCACGGCCCATCCCCACCAGGAGGAAGGTTTGAAGGCAGGGATCTACCACAGCAGAGTCCAGAGGGACTCCCCTGGAGAGACTCCAAACCCAGCTGGATGTGACCCTGGGCACCCTGCTGTGGGCTTGGACGAGATGATCTCCAGAGGTCCCTTCCAGCCCCACCACGCTGGGGTTCTGTGATGACACTCAATTACTTGTGGGACTGTCCTAAGTTTTCTTCTTTCTTTAATTAATTAACCCCCTAATTCCTCAGCTATTTAAAAAGCACAAAACAGGGAAGAAGGATTTGGGGTTTTTCAAGGAGAGCAGTTCCCCCGCTGGCCACGCTGTGGTAGCAATGCTAAACAGTGCTGGAGGCAGAGAGGACTCTTCTGACCTCTACAGTCAAAACCCTCTCTAAAAACTGAAATAAACCCTGAATCGTATGAATTATTTTGCTTTCTGCTGTAATTTCGTGGGAAATCCCAAATTTTCCATGGCGGAAAAAAAAAAACAAACAAAACAACAAACCCCTAAAAAATTCAAACTGGTGCCGATGGTGGCTGGAGGGACTCAATGCACATGGGGGTGAACTAAAGACACGAGCTGCCATGGGGGAAAGCCAGGGACACCTCAGGACCTCCAGCGGGTGACCGGAGCCCCGGGGAGGGGACCCCCGGGAGGGACCCCAAGGGGAGCGGAGCCCCCGCGGTCCTAGAGCCGCCGCCCCGGCCGCTGTCCAGGGTGCTGAGGGACAGCGGTTGGGGGCACCTGGAAGACTCCGTGATCTTAAAGGTCTCTTCCAACTATCATATGAATCTATCAATTTCTGCCATGGCATTGGAGTTATGGAGCGATTACTAACACAGATCCTGCCTGGCTCTGTACTGCGAGTGTCCTTTCACTCACTGAGCTTGCTCCTGTGAATATATTTGGGGAGAAATGTTTCCTTTCCTTAATTTCAAGTGTTGTTTATCTTGGAACAGCAGCAGCAAGAAGGACAATGGCTCTTTTTTCTTATTCAGCCTGAGAGGAGAAGTCGGGGACTTTGGTGGCACCATATTAATTGCTGAACACCCTCAGTGTAGACAAGCTGGTCTATAATTTTCACAGGCAATTTTTTTTTCCTTTGGCTTTTTTAAGGCCTCACTTCCTGTGCCAGGCATTTGGGCCTCCTAAATAGTTCAGAATATGAAATATTTGCTAATAGTGGATGAGACACTCACCTGGGCTGGGATACTGGGGGCTTTGAGAGGAAATACCATGAGTGGAAAAGATCTCAGATATCCCTTTAGCTCCTAGATGCCTGGAAAAGCCACTGTCGTGGTTTAATTCCAGCCAGCAACTAAGCACCAAGCAGCTGCTCATTCACTCCTCCCCCATCCCAGTGGGATGGGAGGAAAAAGCAAAAGAAAAGTAAAATTTGTGGGTTGAGATAAGAACAGTTTAATAAGTAAAATAAAATAAAACTAAACATAATAATAATAAAACATAATAAAACATAATAATAATAAAATATAATAATAATAAAACATAATAACAATAAAACATAATAATAATAATATTAAAGAAAATGAATATAACCAAAAAAAAAAGAGAGAAATAAACCAGGACAAATAAAAAAGGGCAAGTGATGCACAATCCAGTTGCTCACCCCCAGCTGACCGATGCCCCAGCAGTGATCTGCACCCTTGGCCAACCTCCCCAGTTTACATGCTGGGCATGATGTCCTGTGGTAGGGAATACACCTTTGGCTAGTCCAGGTCAGGTGTCCTGCCTGCGTCCCCTCCCAGCTTCTTGTGCACCTGGACACTACCAAAACATGAGAAGCTGAAAATATTTAACTTAGGCTAAGCATGATGTAGCAACAACTAAAACATCAGCACGTTATCAGCATTATTCTCACACTAGATCCAAAACATGGCACTGAGCCCACTACTAGGAGGAAAATGAATCCAACCTACCTATCCCAGCCAAAACCAGGGCAGTCACTCACTGCTTCAAGTGATAAGGGACCAAATAAAAGGAAAGTTGGATCCTTCCAGCCTTCCTGTGCCTCCCCTTCCTAATTTTACACAGGGACAGGATTGCATCTGAAGGGATAGCCAGGGTGTGAAGGAGTTTAGAAGGGTTTCTGGATCTCAAGGACAAAATGTAGCCTGAAACCCAACTGAAAAGCCTTTTTTTTCCTGTAAAAGATGCTCGTTCCATCCTCTCTTGCTCAGCTTCACAGCTCCACGGCCTCCCTGCAGCACAGTGCAGAAGGCATGAGAAGGAGAACACTGCAACAGAAGTTTGGATGCTGAAACCACCAAAAATCCACTGAGACTCATTGTTCCCTCCACTGAAGCCCCTCTAGGTTCTGTCACACATATTGATCCTCTGGAGAAACTTGGAGCTGATGGACGATGTGGAAGGTGCTGGCTCCAGGGGTTTCCAGTTCATTGGGCTGTGAAACAGGGAATGAGGTTTTTGGTGATCTCACACCTGGCTCAAACCGAGGGAGACCAGAAGCTTGTCAGGGAAACTTAGCAAGTATTTGAAATGTGTTGCTTGATGGAGAAGCACTGGGTGACTTTTTTTTTGTTGAGAGCTCATGCTCAACCACGGCCAAGCTTTGCTGGCCAACAGCTATTGTTCTCACCACAAAACCCAGGAGCCTGTGGGGCTCAGTATAAATATATGACGCTGGAGAAACTGGTGGCCACAGGCCAGGATTCTAGCTGGCCCTGTCCTAGCCTCTGCTGGGTTGCCCATCTATTGGGAGAGCCTCTGTATTGCACATGTTTGGATTAAAACTGAAAACCTGATGGCTTAGATAATGCACCATTCGCTCTTTATGCTGAAAATGACTTTAACTTCAGTTGTTTATTCAGAAAGATTCAAGGTGAATATGTGAGGCAGTACCAGAGTGGATTAAGGGGTGGGAAAACAGCTTTGCTAAAGAGGAACCAGCCCACATTCCTTCCTGCCTGCCTCATCCCACCTCAGTTTCCTTTGCAGAAGACAACCCTCAGTTCTGCAGCAGGTTCTGTACCTCTATCATCATCATACTGGAAACGTGTCCTTTGGGTCAGCAGCCACAGTATTTGTTTAATGAGAAGAGGAAATGTGTCCTCAAAAAGGACACAGGGTAAGGAAGCCCTTCAGGGAACGGCTGCTCAGGAGCACAAGTACTGGTTCCATCCCAGTAAAATGGAAAGAGGAGTTAAGAACAGTCTCAGGAAGTTTTCCCTCCTCCCAGGGGAGAGAATCAGGAATTTCCCAACGTCAGTCACAGCATCTATGTGCCCACGTCACCATCCAGAGGTGCCTCTCTCTAGGGACCACCCCTGGTGAGCCAGCTCGGAGGAGGTGCCTGGGCAAAGCCAGGAGGGAGGATGTGGCACGGCCTGAGGATGGGCAGGGATCACCTCACGGGAGGTGTAGGGCTGATCTTGGGTTCCTCACCTACCAACTGCCTTCATACAGAAAAGGGTGCTTCAACGTGAGGGGTTTAAAGGGTGCTTGAAGCAGCCCTTGTGGTGACAAACACTCCCCAAGTGCTGGAGAAATGGGAGGATTTACTGGAAAAGAAAAAAGGATCCCTCTCTGGCAGAGAGCTCTGCAGGCAGGGCTGTTTACAGTAGCTGATAGGTTTTGCATCTGGCCAGCAGGATTAACCAACCAGGGCCTGAAAAGTGCCCAGAAGGGCACTAAAAAAAGCACACATTTTGCAGCTGGACTTCCTCTTCTTCCCAGCCTCAGCCGTTCGGTGTCCTGCACAGAAATAAACTTTGGATGCAGCTTTAAAAACTATCCAGAGTTCCCGTGGAGGAACCAGCTTCCAGATGATCCCTCAGGATCCTCAGAGGTTCCCATGGGGTTGGGGTTTTTTTTTTTGGTATTTGTGGTGGCCTTCCTGTGGCTACTCAGACAGCACCAACCATGAGTTGAAATTTAATCTGTGCAGTAATTCCTGCCCCAGACACCTCCTGCCCCAAGGGCTCCCCTGGTTTTAAAGCATCTACTTTGGTCTCAAGGGGTGGGGACTCTCCAGTCATTGGAAATCAATAGTAAAGCACCAACGAAGAAAGGAATTGGAGTTTCACTGGGGCAAGTCCCCTATGAAAACCTCACTTGTGGTTCTCTCACAGGCTGCAGGCCAGCTGGGAACTATCTGACAGATTCTCCAGGTTGTCCACCGTAGCGATGATGGTCTCTATTTTTTCTTCTGGAAGGACATGAGAGGCGTTGGAGCGGAACTTCTTCAGGAGCGATTCTTTGCTCAGAGGCTTCCTCCAGTGCCCGTAGAAAGTGTCACATTTGCCTGTCAGGACGTCCCCGCTGTGCAGGAGCAGCGCCACCTCTCCGTACATCTTGTCAAAGTTGGCCACGTTGTCTTCAGGGTGCTCCACCACCACTTTGTCCAGCAGCTCCCTCAGCTCTTGGCGACGGATGCTGCTCTCCGAGAAGGAGCTGAGGCCCATCTCACCATCCAAGAGGGCAGTGCAGGCGTTGAACTGGAAGGAGTGTCTCGCCTGGTGTTCAGAGCTGGGGAAAGGCCTGTTGATGTACTTCGACACCGGGATCTTCAGCACGATGGTGCGGATCAAAGACGGAGAGAAGGACCCCGCGTAGTTGATGAAGAGGTTCCGGACAGACAAAGCAGCATCCACCACCCAGTGCATCCCCAAGTGGGCTGGGAATCTCTTGAAGGCAATATCCTGCTTCTCCAGGAGGAACTCATGGCGGTCGCTTGGCGGGGACAGCGGCTTGGGTTGGTAGACGCTGTAGAAGACGCTGAAGCCCGAGCAGCCAGGGATGTCATCCAGAATCAAGGGGTTAGCCTCCATGCCCCGGGCGGCCAGCAGCGCCGCTTCGAAGCCCAGGCGGGTGGCATTGCCCACGTGCAAGGGCTTGGCTTGGGTGGCAGCGTTGGCCATGGGTGCCCCTGCCAGCGAGGGCGCACTGGGCCGTGCTGAGGGACAGGAGCTTGGCCGTGGCTGCGGCACTGCCCAGGGTACCCACCACCGAGGGAGGGTGGAACCTGAAGGGGAAATGGCAGAAATGAGCAGCTCTGCCTCGCTTGGCACGTGGAGCGCCCGAGGACCTCGCCCACCAGACCTGCCTAGGGGACTGGAAGTCATAGAATCCTTTAGGTGAGAAGAGACCTTTGAGATCATGGAGTCCAACCATTGACCTAACAACACCAAGCCCACCATTAACCCGTGTCCCTCAGCAGCACATCTCCATGGCCTGGAATGCCCTCCAGGGGTGGGCCCGTGTCCCTCAGCACCACATCTCCATGGCTTGGAATGCCCTCCAGGGATGGGGACTCCACCACCACCCTGAGCAGCCTGGCACAGCCCTGGGCAACCCTCAAAGTGAAGAATTTTCAACAATGGACAAATTCACTCCAATGAGCAGCCCGGTCAGCCGGTGGAAATCCCTCATGGCTCTGGTGCAGGTGGGATTCACCTAGCTCAAAATGGAGCCATCTAAAAACTAAGCATCTGCTTGAATCTGGAGACAACAGAGTGAGCTCAGCACCTCCAGAAAGCAAGTTTTCAGTTTCCCTCAAGGTGGCACGGCTTGTGTCCATCCTGCCCAACCTCCTCCCCACAGAGAAATGAGGTGGCCTCCTCCAGCATGCCCCAGGGTAACAGATCCTGGTCGATGCTGCCCCTTGGGCCACAGCTGGGCACTGCCTGGTGAATGGTGGTTGGCACAGGCAGAAGTTGTGCCAAAGACTGTGCCCACATTTAAGCTGTCTGTGGGCCACTGCCTGTCCTGTGCTCTTGCCCTGGTCGGTTTATGTGACAACAGCGTGACAGTGTTAGTCCTCTTGAGGGTTATTTTTGAGGCAAGATCACTGGAGGTCACCAAATGAGCACGTGGTGCCTCATCAGCCCTGGCAGAACTGGCATTTGGCTCTTAGTAGGGCTTTATCCTGATCCTGAGTTGATGAAACCCTGAGCAGACGTGTTAACAGACTCACCAACCCTCTCCCTGCTCGCTGAAGAAAAGGAGGTTTACCTTTTTGGAATGTCGTGAGCCTCAGTGGAGAAATGCATGAGCCTTCCTTGCACTTCCAGGCCCACGTTGAACGCCAGCAGGAAATCCATGCCGTTGGGTTTGGTGCCTGCAGGCAGCATCTGGGAAGCTGCCAGGAGAGCTGGCAGAACAGCCCCCGACGGGTGAGTTGCAGGGTGCCAGGTGTCATCAAAGTCCATGGAGTGAGTCTGCCAGAGAAACGGAGATAAGGGCGTGCTGGTGCAGGGAGCTGGAAGCTGAGGGAGCTTTGGGCTCCTTGCTGAGGCTGCCTCTGCAACAACATCCACCCAGACACCCCGGGATGCCCACGGGTGGCTGTTTGGCCCCCCTAAAAGCAGCGTGAAGACTGCTGAGGAGCCCACGACTTCTCGTGCCCTGTTACCCCTCCCAGTGACCAGCCTGCTCCCTGTACCACTAGCGGGTGTGTCTGCAGGCAGCAGAGAGCAGAGCAGCTCCTGGCAGTGCCCGGGCTTACCGCGACGCCGTTGGTGAACGCCGCCAGCGTGGGCGAGAGCTTCACGCCCGGCTTGCCATAGACAGAGCTCACGGCCACGGGGGAATACAGCTCCTGGGGAGGGCAGGGAAAGTCAGGTGAGGACCCTGCATGGGGCAGCAGTGCCAGAGCAAGGCAAGAGTCCTGCAGCAGGGCAGGGTGGTGGTGGTGGTGGTGGCATCGGGGCGGTGCCGCGGGGCTGCCCCTACCCGGCAGTACTGCAGAGCGATGTCGAAGACGGGCGTCGTGCTGCCCACCAGGCCCACCCCGATGCTGTCCAGGATCATCCTCTTGCTCCTGTGACAAACCGTCTTGGACAAGTGCTCGGGGCGAACGGCGTGGATGAAGGAGGCAAAGCTGCTGGTCACGGTCTCCTCTGGAGCGCTCCTGGCCACCACTGCAGCAGCGAGAGAGAGGGGATGGGGTGAAGACACGGGTGGGCCACGCGTGGAGGGCTCACAGAGGACCACTCTCTGCTCCCACTGAATTTATCAAAGGGCAGAGGCAGCTGGAGAGTGCAGGATCTGCCCAGCACGGCCCTTGGGTCACGCGGCTGCGTGCAGCCCGACAGATTTGGGAGGAGATGTAGAGCTTCCCTGTGCTGCCCCAGGCTGGGAGCCTCCCCCTGAGAATGCCACGGAGGCCAAGTCACCTCTTGTGGCTTGGGGCACTTGGTGGAGTCGAGGAGAGGAGCATCACTGCTCCACAGACAGCAGAGAGGTGCTCCTGGAGAGGGGGTGGGCATCTCCTCTGAGGGGAGGTGCCATTTCTCCCCCAGTGCCAGCACAAGGAGCCCAAGGGGAGCAGCCTGGTGTGGATCCTGTCCCTCCCCACAGGTTTCCAAGGGTCCACAGCATGTCCTGTCTCCTACTGCCTACACGTGCTGTAAGGACAACTCTGTGCACCTCCTGGGGTGGCTTCAAGAAGGTTCAGGTGAAGCAGTTTCAGGGCTCAGCCCCTTCCCCCCCCCTGGGTTTCAAGCAATCATCTTTTGGGGAGGTCAACACAAATGATGTCCCTTTATCTGGAGAAAAGGCAAAGCAGGTGCCCTGTGCCACTACCACTGGTGCTGTGCTGGGAGCAGATCCCAGAAAACCAGAACTTCCTACAGCTTCCATTAATTTTGGCAAGCAGGACTAGACCCAAAGCCTGGATTTATCCAGAAATTTGGCCCTACAAGGCACCGAGGTGTCTTGATTCAGGCAGCAAAGCTCATAAGCCCTATGCATGCAGAAGGATGCTCCTAAAAGTCCTTTGGGTGTTCTTCCATAGCTGAGCTCAGCTTATCAGAGGATTCAGCCTCTGATAGAAGGGGATTAAACCAGAAGATCTCCTGAGCTTGGCATCTGAAGGAGTTTTTCCTGTCTCTGAAAACGCCTTTGCTGGTAGACAAGAAGCAACACATGGAGCTTCCCAAGGCAAAATCAGCACCTGGAGTTATGCCTGGGCAGACAGCACAAACTACTGTCACTCCAGGATTTGGAAGCCACCACTTCCAAATCTTTGGAGGTGTTAAAACTCTGTGGAAAACATCCACAAAATCCTCTCTAAAAATGTAAATAATCCCTGAGTTGTTACCATTTATTTTTTTCTGCTGGCATTCTGTTGGAAATCCGAAATCCTCCATGATGATAAATTGCTTTGATTAATTTATAACTCATAGAATGATAATTATGACCCATTTTCATTTATAGTAGAATTTTGAGAGTGCACAGGGGTAGGAAAAGCATCCAATACAGCTAATATTTGCATGATTGTGCATGAATATATGGGGATGCACACAGATAAAAGACGACGTTAATGTCCAAATGAAACCAAGCAGATGAGTAAAGCAAGAGAGCAAAACCACTTTGCTTCAACAGGAAACCTCATCAAAATCAGCAGGTACACACGACAGCTTGTTTTCTAAACAGAAAATATCCCAGTTACAGGAAAAAAAGAATTAAAAAGACTGTTCCCTAATTTTACTAGCTTGTATTCAGGCTTAAATGTCATGTCTACTGACTCACAGTTTGCTTGCCAACGGATTTGGACTCACCTAGAGCCCGGGAGCCTAAAAACCACTTGTAAACACAGCTGAGAATGCCATCATTGCTGTGACTCACGGGGATAAAATTCCCCCCTCGCAGCAGCTCTGGGAAATCTATTGCTATAGGAATCTGTAGCACTCAGCAGTTCGGAAACCGTCTGCTGCAATAAAAAATCTGGGTCCTCTCCGAAAGCATCTTCAGCATCCCACAGCCCATGGCACCAACGCCCTCGGGGAGAAGGAAATGAAGTCAAGGTAGAAAGGAGAGGAAAAATCCGCTCAAATCACACTTGGGTTGCTTCCTTCCCCTCACCAAACTCTTCGGCACCTCAGTTGGCAGTTTTTAACCCTTTAGTAAAAAGCATTTGGTGACTCCAGTGGTTTTCTCCTGCGATGGAAGCTGTGCTGAAGGATTTGATAAAAAAACCCCAAAAACCTTTGCCCGAGACCAAATAGATTAATCATCATTATTCCTCTCGTGCTCAAGCGTTCATAAAACAACATTCACTATATTTATTATATTAATAGCATATTCAAAAATCATTTTCTAGACAAACTTGCAACAGATCAAGTGGCTACGGAGCAAAGTTCTGCTTAATTTTATGAAGGAGGGGAGCTGTGGACGTGCAGTGCTGGAGAAGGCAGCACAGGGAGAACGAGCCGTGGGTCACTTCAAGCAGAGCTAATAGCAAGATTAAATGTACCACAGAATCATGGAATGGTTGGGGCTGGAAAGGACCTTTAAGGATGTCCTGACAAACAGGAGGAATTAAGGATCTGAGCAATCCAATTTAAATCTCTTACATTTGCGGTCAAAGAGGAAGAATTTGGAAAGTCTGGTTCTAAATCATTTAAACTCTCTGGTTTAGCACAGGACTCACAATCAACATTTTTACCACCTGTTACTTTCCTCCTTGTTCTTTAGCAACCGAGGGCAACAACCTCCACAAGAACCCCCCCCAAGCACTCCTGGTCTTCCCCGAACCCGAGCGGTTTATCTCGGCGCGCTCAGCCCAGCACTTCTCTTTTTAAAGCCATAACATGATGATTTGGGGATGCTGTTTAGGCAAGGAGAGGGAAGGCTGTTCAGCAGAGGGATACGAACCGTGAGCAGCAGTTTTGTGAACTTGCCGGGAGGTTGCCAAGAACTTCTGGGATTTCTAGAGCAGAGAGAGAAAGAACATTTGTCACCGAAGCCGCTTGAACTTTTCCAGAGCCGTTGTGCTGGTGGTGCCTCTACCATGGCATCGTAAGACACTCGCAGATTAAGAGAGAGGGTGAAACCAGCTACATATTTAAAGGAGAAAAAAAACCTGTTTTCCAAAGCTGAGTCCAGCAGAGGTGCCAAGAATAGCCAGGGAAATAAAGCAGTACAGTCGAAGGGGCAGCGCAGCCTCTTCAGACCTACCACGAAATCCTTTCATAGCAGGACCAGCTCAGAGTGGACACCAAGGAGGGGGAAAAAAACCCACCCAGCAACAACACCTCCCCACCATGGCACCGTCCAAAACACGCCTGGGACACCTCAAAGGAACAGGCAGGGAGGGAACAGGTCAGTAAGCACGCACAAAGTGCCTGTGCAAACCACCTGACTTTGTTAGTGTTGGGGCAGGTTCCCATCTAAGGTCACCAGAATTTTGCCCCGTTGAAGGAACCGCCTAGAAAACTCCATTCCCTCCTTAAAATGCAAAAAGCAAGCTCAGAGACGGGGAGGTTTGGAGCTGTAGTTACCTGTAAGGTGAAGTAGACCATGCTGGTGGCTGCTGCCCCTGCTCAGTGCCCAGCTCTGCACGGCTCGATGGGAGGGATGGGAGAGGTGGTGTCTGCAAGGTGCTTTGCTCTCGGGGTTTATATATGCTTCTGAAAGGCAATTTGCTTTTTGTTTTCCTTTTTTTTTTTTTGCAACTGAATTTCAAGTGTGATGACATCAGCCCCTGGGGACGGAGAGGGTGGGGGGAATAGATGAGGAGGGGTGGTTGGTCTCTGCTCGGCAGAAGGGACCCCCCCTCCCCTCCACCCCCAGTTTCAGGAAATTTTAAAAAAAACAACAATGTAGGACAATAACTGACGAAGTTGAAGGAAATTCCTGACTCCAAAATGCCACAGGTGCCAATGTGTGAAGCAACTGGCCCCAGGCTCCTCCTACGGAGGAGGACTATAAATCTGGTACTCACCAGGAAATGAGAGGGACAAGAGCATCCTCCCATTGAGCCGAAGTGTCACCAAACCAGGTAATCCAAGCTGCAGAGGGAGAAGCGTGGCATCGGTGCTTTCTCTTTGGTGCATTTGGGTGACTCTTTTCATAGCTCTCCTCCTTCTAAACCCTCAGCTCTGTGGTGCTGCTGGGTCATGGACAGGGTGGTGCAGGTGGGAGCTCTGTAGATTCCAGGAGGCACCGGGACCCTCTGTTCCCCAGGGAATGTTTGGAGGAGGGGGAATGACATGGCTCTTTGCTTTGTCCAAAAGTGAAACCTTGGGATGTTTAATATGCATTATTTTGTACAGGATAACAGCCTGCTGGGTCACACTTGGCATTTAAAACCAGCCTGACTTGTCTACTAAACCCAAGGCTGAGCCTTGGTCATTCTGAAGGTAGAAAGGCATCTGGGGGAGCTTTGTTTGACCAGGGGAGAGGCAGGGTTGTGATGTTTGTTCCAGCTGCAGAGGGTTGCTGGGCACTGCTCGACTTGCTGTGTGCTTCTCCAAAAAAGAATTGCATCTAAACGTGTTTATCTTGAGAGCCGGGGGGATTTTCACAGAGCTGTGTAAACATTTGTTAACATTAATGAGGTGGGGTGGAAAACTAATTGCAAAATGCCACTGGGGAATAAGTGCTTGAAGGTTTGATGTTGTGGTGTTTGTCTACGTGTCCCGTGGGGTGCTGAGCCTTGGTCCAGCCTCCCGTGGAGGTGATGTCCACACACCAGTGTGTTCCTGTTGGTACTGGTGGAGGGGAAGGAGCAGAGGGGCCAAAGGGAGGTTGTTGCCAGCAATAAAAGGAGATGAGTGAAGGAAGAGGTGTTCAGAGGGTGCAGCCCAGCTGGCACATGCCCGGTGACATGGGCATGGCTCAGAGGTCAAGCTGAGGGGGAGAGGAACCAGGATGGAGGAAGGTCCTCACAAGCCACCTCTGCAAAGCTCAGGCTGAAGTGTGTCTGGGGCAAGCAGGAAAAGGAAAGAAGGTGGAGGAGGTTGGGCGATGGGGAGGGGATGGCTTTGGCTTTGCCCTCGTGTGTGTGAGGGAAGGATCACCCCGGGCTGCCCCATCTGTTCACCAGCTCTCTGAAAGGCCTGGCAACACCCCAGGCGCCTCCTCACCTGGAGGTCTCCATCATGAGGTCTCTGTCCTTGTGGTTTCCTGGCCAGTGGCTGTGCTGGCTGGTAGCCTGTGTGTACAGAGAGCTGCTAACCCCCCAGTTTGGGTAGAAAGGGACTTCCCTGTTGGCTTCTCTGCCCCAGCACTGCCTGGGTCATCACCCAAAGAGCTACTTTGCCTCGGTCCCAGCTGAGGATAACCAGCTTGCAGACTTCACAAAGGAAGGAGTTGGTGGGAGACCTCACTGCAGAGGTGTGATGTTATCAGCTCTCTGCAGTGCCTGTGGAGAAACAGGTCCTTACAGAGCCCCAGAGGCAGCAGCTGTACCCACAGATAGTGTCACAGGAGAGCTGAGGGGTCTTGCCCGAGGGACAAACAAGGCTCAGGCACACTTGGACCAGAAAACACCTCTGAGGGTTTCCAAGCAGCCCCTCGTTTCTCCAGGTCTTGGTGCAGCCCACAGAATGATTAGTGCTGCTACCCCTGAGAGAACAGCAGCAGGACATTCATTATTCAACGTGCCCTTACACTGCATGAAATAAAGGAGGGGGGGGGGCAAGGCACAAATGCTGAAGTGCTCTTAGGAGAGGGAGTGGGGGGATGCTGTGGGTAGGTGTTTGCAGAGCAGATCTGCAGCTCTTTCCACCCCTAAAACCTCCTCCTCCTCCCAAGGGAAACTCCTCCAGCTCCCTCCTTTTCCATACCTTGGTCTAAACCCTCTCGCCTCCTTTCCCTTTTCCCCTCCCCAGCCTGACAGGCACGTTCTGGCATCTCCTCTCCCCCTCCCGTGAAGGGCTGCACTGCAAGCAGAGGGAACCAGCCCTATTGGTTGTGTCTCCACACCCTTCACCAGCCTGAGCTGGGTGTCTCAGGCTCCAACACTGCTTTGCACTGCTAGCCACACAGGAGTGAGCCTTGGCAAGCTGCAGACCACTGCTGCGAGCCCAGCAGCCACCTGGCCAGCCCACCTTCCTCCAGAAAACCCATCTCCTCCTCCTCCTCCTCCTCCTCCAGAGAGGAACTCAAACCAGGGGCTTGTTGTGGCATGCCTAGAAAGCCACCGTCGGAGCTATTTCGGAGTGAAACATCTGGAGGAACTTCATAGCGTGGCCCACCTCCAAGTATAACCATTTAAACCAAAGTGCTTATTTATAGCTGAATAATTGAAAAAAAAAAGAGAGACAGCATCGTGGGCTCCACAGGCAGCTGCTCGGCTCTTTCCCAGGGGGGTTTCTTTCTTAGGGCCTCCTTTAAGTCTGTGGTTTATACAGATGCTTGATGTTAAAGGTTTATACAGATACTTGATGTTAAAGAGTGTTCCTCCTGCAGAACTGATGTGTTGCATCTCTCTGAACCAAAACCCCCTTAACCTTTAGCACAAGCAAAGAATGGAATGAATGAATTGTCCCCCCAAGGTTCACTTGAAAGTTCTTACCCTTTCCCACACTCCGTGAGAGTTTGAGCTGAATCAGTTCAGAGCTGTTAGGAGCTGATTTATCCTTCACTCTTCATTTGTGTGAAAATTCCATCCTCTGGAATAAATGGAGAGAAGGAGAACATGGAGAGGGGGTTAGTGGAACAATACAGTCCTCAGGCCACAGGGGTTTGCAAAACATGTCTGCCCAGGAGCCCTGTGTGTTTAAAAGCAGATACCAGGATTTAGGATCATTAATAGTCACCAAACTGTCTCTTCTTTGGGTGGTGCTCCTTCACTCCTCCTCACTTCCCATGTCACCAGCAGTGCTGCGTGCTCTCCTCTTTTCCAAGAGACTTTTTGGAATGGCCGAGTGCAGGCTACATCACCTTCTCCTCTTCCAGCTCCTTTAGGTCATAACACATCCTAAAAATAGTCAAAATAACAAGAACATTGCTGTTTTATTTTCATCTTTGTTCCCTAACAAAAACCTCCAGAGAGCAAACTCCTGCTCGTGGTCCCCAGGAGTGCAGAGGGATGGAAACGTGGGGGCTGCCTGCAAATAGCCGAGTTCATGGCAGAAATATGAAGGGTTTGAAAATAGACAATTTAGTCACTAGGGCTTCAAGAAAGGGATGGAGCTGGAAAATTCCGTCTGGAAGGGAGACTGTGTGCGCCGTGCCTGCCTGTTTGTCTGTAACAGTGGATAAGAAGTGTCCTGGAACAGCTCAAAAATACCTTGTGGGTTTCGTCTGGATGTTTGTTCGTTTGTGTTAGGCTATTCATTCCCCTCCATCCACAGCAGCCTGGAGAAGAGGGGGCAGGAACCATCACCACCACCTGCAGCGCTTTGAGGCACCTCAACGTGTTTTTGCCAGAAATCCTCGTCGCCTAAATAGGTTGTGTGTGTGTGTTTTTTCTGGCTAGGACTCCAGAAAGTAGGCACCCAAAGTTCTCCTTTGAATCGAGCCTTTGTCCGGAGCGACGAGCGGGGAGGAACGATGGCAACACCTGAGCCTGTCACCAGCTTCACCCTCCTCGGCGCGGGGGCACGGCTCTGAGGGTTGGCCCAGAGCCTGAGGCGAGGCAGGGCCGGCCCAGACGCCACCGCTGTTGTGTCTGGAAGGGCCATGGCGAGCTCGGCGGGCTTCGCGGCCGTCTTCTACAGCGAGCCGGCGGCGCTGGGGCTCCTGGCCAACGTGGTCAGCGCCTTCCTCCTCTGCCTGCAGAACCTGGCCGTGGCACGCACCGGCC